AGCAGTGGGCCACGCAAAGCTGTGCTCGCTCCCCAGAACATCCTCACAACGCCATGAGGAACAAGTGCTGTTTAGTCCTCCAGCTGATGGCAGCTTTCTACAAATATATATATATATATATATATATATAAGAAAGCATGACAATATAACAAGATAATTGATATCTCAATTTTTTAAAAAATTAGATTGTTGAAAATTTAATGTTTTCCTATTAAATTTACTTGTAGTCTTTACCATTAAATACATAACTATATGAGTAACTGCATCTATATATCTATAAACACCTACACCATGTACACCATCCAATTAAAATAGTACATAATGTTAAATGGTATTTATTCTTAAAATCTTCTTTCTGGGCAAGTAAAAACCAAGAAAAGGTCTCTTTGGTAAAACAGTTCTTGATCATGTTTCTTGATGTGTAACTGAATATTAAATGTCACAGGGAAAAAAGAAAGCCAGTAACAGAACTGCTTAATATTATTCCGGTGGTGTCTTCCTCAAAGGCAGAACAACCAGGAGTTAATTGGGGGCAGGCAGTCAGAATCATCCCAGTGTTTATCACTCTAAGCACACACCTTCATCTTACTACATCCTTCTACACCACATTGCCAGCTGTCCAGGCAGTGAGCAGCCGAGATATGGGCCTGAGGAGGGCGATGTCTGAACACCTGTTCCACTAAATGCCTCCCATGTAAGCCAATGCACATACAGACTCCTGGAAGCAAAGACTGGAAGGTGAGGTCCACATTTGCAGTCACGCTACAGAGGAAGTGAAGTCCCCTGAGCTGGATTTCCTTCCTTCCCAGAGCAGACTGGCTGTGCTCCAAGCTCTGCAAGTGGGCAGGATCTGCCTCCTACCTCTCCCTGCTCCTGCTCTTCTCTAGCTGGTAGCCAGTAGTTCCCCTTGCCCTACTGACTGGGAGTTTGATCCTTACCTTGCTTCCTACCTCTTTAACCAAATTCTGCTCTGCAGAAGCACTATATCATTGCTAAGTCTTGTCTTTACACAAGGGCATGCCTTCCTTGGTTAGAAAGCTGCCCTCCAGGTCGAGAACATGATACTTTGAATCCCATGTACATGCATAAACCTATCTCAGAAACTGGAAACTGTTGTGATATTATCTCAAGCTTAGGGTTTGCTACTTGTTGGCTTTTAGCAGATTTTGGTTAACATTAAAGGACAATGAGTTACCATTTTCAGGAGCCTTTTCCTCACAACAGGCTCTAAGGCTTTGCATCATTTATGTGGACCACTGAGATCAAGAAAGATGATTTTCTTTTCTCTGAGTACAAATATTTTAATTTCAAAAATATTTATCTTAATATATTTTTGTCTTTCAGAATCCACTCACCCAAAAATTAATAGCCTCTAGCCTATATAATCTGTTTCTTTCTGCCCTGGCAGTAAAGGATTATCATTTTTTCAGCCTCCTTTCCCTGTTAAAACCAAATGAGAAATTAAATCACTATGACTTATCAACAGTCCCACCATCATACATGGGGTCTTTCACATTCATTTCCAGGTATGAATTATTTCATATCATTTTAGTAAGAGCAAAAGAAAAGAAGTGGAAGAACAAGAACTGAGGCCTGGGGAGAGAGAACAGTTTCAGCATATACAAAAAGGGATAAGAAGATATACAAAAAGGATTAAGAGGGAACCTAGGAAAGGAAAACTGAGGAGCAGGAAGAGAAATATGGTGATTTTTAAAAGCTTCTGTGAGTTTGGTGTTATACTGTGATGTTTTCCCAATGCTCCACTGTCTGGAGTTGGATGGTTATACAAATTTCATATTAGAGGAGAAAAACTTATTCCACATCTAGGAGGGATGTATGAATAACAGTTATTATTCTAAATAAATTTCTAGTTTATCCATATTTCTTTATTTAGATGTAGAAGAAAAGAATGTAAAAATGGACAGTGAAGTGGACCCATTTAACCTTTCCTAAGTGCTGTCCTGCAGACGATGTAGGAGCAGCTAAACAAGACAACACCAGCCAACTGGATAACAAGAGAAGAAGAAGAAAACATTAAAGCAAAAATATTGTGGTCCTGAGCAAGCCAGAGCTAAGATTAGTATGTGTGTGAAAAGAATCACAAGGTCAAGCTGGAAAGCTGCTTGAGGCGTGATTGTTCTTTGTGGCTGAAGGCGGCCATGGGAGTGTCTGTATGGTATGTGTGCAGATAAGTAAATCCTGGCCTGGCTTGATAGCTCAGACCCTTATTCTGTATATAAATGGAGTAATAATGTTACAAGAGAGTTCTGCCTGGACAAAATCTGTGTCCCATGGATTCGTTCACTGCAAAGGGTTCTGAGTGAGGGATTTTCACTGCATGACATCACTGGAAATACTAACAGCAAGATTGATTCCCAATTTCATTGTTAGATTTTTAATTTGGTAGCTAAGCCTGGCTCCACTTAATTAGTTTGCTGTATCAATAAATGTGACTAACAACACAGGCCTCTAGATTGTTTGTTTTTCCAATAAGCTATTTTGCTAATTATGCTATTTTGTATACAGGAAAGCCTGAAAAATGCATGTGAAAACAAACCAAATAGGCATGCTTATCCTGATCAAAAGTGCACAAACCTGCACAAAGGTTTTCACAGACTAACCACTTTCTCGTGAAACTCTATCTGGTAGAGTCATAACCAGTGGTATCCAACCTTCAGGTTTTTTTCTTTTCAGTCAACCATCCACATGCTTGCCTTTATACAAATACTTAAGCCTTATTTGATGAAAAGGTAAATGTAAGAATTGATAATATATATTCTCATACTGGGGCCATCACCCTTTTTCTCATGGCTGAGTTAATTTGTAATGTTTTTGGTTAACTGATACAAAAATTTACTTTGTGCAGGTGTAAAAGTCTGCTACAGGTGTGCTTGTTTATATCACATTTTGGGACAAAAATATGAAATTATTAAATCATTAGCACAGTTTTGTTTATAGAAATTAATCTGAGAAAAATTGAAAAAAATTGCAGCACTACTTTTAATTAAAATAAAGTACTTGTTAGTACCTAAATATAAACACTTTCTTGGAGAATAATCTCAATTTATGTCCTAATTACTGTGCTGTGCCACAGTTGTCTCCTGTCTTCATTACTCTTACTTCATCCAGCTCCCTATCTAGGCAGCACTTCACTGTTTCACAGCTGTGAGTTTACAGAACCTCGCCAAGCATAGTTCTAGCACCGCAGAACCCACTTATGTATGAGACAAACTTTTATCAGCCCTGTGAAGCCAGAACAGCCTAAGGTAAGCTCTGCAGTGATGATTTAAAAGACTTTGTATGCATGAGGAAAACTGGTGCTGCTCATCAGTGTGAATGCCAAAAGGCTGGGGATCATACAGCTGTCGTCCTACTTGGCTTGCCAGCCTACAGTGAATAGCTCTGGACTGTGAAACCATGTTACGTCTCTTTTGCCTAAAACAGGTCCAAAACAAGTCAGTTCCAGCCCTCATAGGTTTGCATTTCACTATGCAGGCAGAACACAGAGGATCTGCTACCCGTGAGGAGGCAAAAAAAATCCTTCAGCTATGCCAATAAGACTGCCAGTCTTTTTGGAAGGTATTCAACAGCTCCCTCCTGCTTGAAAGAGTGTGGTTGCTCCCCACAGCATTTCTTTTAGCAATATGCTGAGTCTTTTTGGTCAGGCTAAGTCCTGATCCCCCTCCAGTCACAGTGGGCACAGGGCTGATCCTGGGCTGGGGTGAAGCTCCTGCTGCCACTGCCTAAAACAGAGTGCTGAGACCCTTGTGTCAGGGGAGCCAGGCTGATGGTCATGCTCTTACTGAATGCCTGCCACTCCAGGCCTTTCCTGCCATGTCATGCAAGAAGTAAGGAGAACAAAAAAAAGTTTTTGCCATATTCTTTCTATCTAATCTGGTTTTGTCTTCTATTCTAGTTTCTTTCTTGCCTGCTTATCTTAATTTTCACTTTATTTGATTTCTGTTATTTTCTCCTTTGTCCTGTTCTGTTCTCTGCCACAATATTCATTCATCTTTGTCCAAATATAAGATATTAGTATGCTTGGTTTTACCTGCTTACTTACGGTTAATAATCATAATAAACAGATAATGATAATAACCAGTAATAATAATAAACAGAGATCACCCTGATGTCTGTGTACCATGTAATTCATTATACTAATAACCATTTAGCAGAAAAGAGTCTTTCAACTTCTTTTCTTCAGGGAGCTTTTCTTTTTCTGTTTTCCCATATTTTCAGTCTCTGTTGTTTTCTGGTTCTCCCTGTAGAATCCTAATACAGCCCACAGAGAAAGCTACATGAAAATCATTTGCTAACAGCAGTAATGCAGTGCTGACGCAGGCACTGGGACACCTGTGACAGAGCCAGGAGTGATGGTAAGTAGTCACAGGTGCAGTTTCACACCCCTGCAGACATGGTAATTTCTACAGATGATCTAACAAAAGAGAAAGAAGTAGGTCTGACTTTTAGTGCTTAAACAAAATATGTAGGCAAAGCATCTTAAAACTTAATCAACTGGATTCTTCATCCTGAAATCCATAGGCAAAAGTGTCTCTCTCTCCATTTGGAACTGTGGGGTTTTTTAAAGGAAAAACTAAATGAAATAACTTTTTTTTTCTTTCATGTTCAGCAGTCAGTTCTTAATTGTTATCTGCCTGACAGTGTACATGCATCATTCAGGAAAAAAAAAAAAAGAAAAATCTTCCTTTCCCCTCTTGTAAAGAAGCATTATCTAAATGCTTCTTGGCAGTTGATGATAAGAGCAGAGCCTGTAATATATTTCTCCAATTAATTTCAGGCAGGGAGCCAGATGTTACTTCTATTCAGTTTGTCAAACCTATAGGAGTGCCTGGATTCTGGCTATCTTTTTTTTTTTTTTTTTTTTTTTTTTTTTTTTTTTTTTTTTTTTTTTTTTTTTTTTTTTTTTTTTTTTTTTTTTTTTTTTTTTTTTTTTTTGACCATTACAGAGGCAGAAGGAGTCAGCATTAAATCTTGCCATAAGCACTTGATTGAATACAAGGTACAAGAGAAACTAGAACCTCCATTCTGATTCTTCTTAAGGTAAGTTTTGCTGTCATTTTAGTGAATTCCTCGGGCTTCTACTGAGTCTTAGTGTCTCAAGAAATGTATCCTTATATATTCATTAAAATCAGAATTGTTTAAATGTTTGGGGAGTCATTTTTATATTTTTATACTTTTCAGACAATATTATCTCTGTACAAGTTGTATTTACAACATAAGGATGCCTTGCAAGAAGCCTTCTGAAAACAAAAGTAATTATGTTTGGGATTTTTAAAACATGTTTATACAACTAATGTTTTACATCTTAAGGGTAGGAACCGTTTAACGAAATGTAACTTGCTTTATTTCAAATTAAAACACAGGAAGGTTGCTAAGTTCAGGAACAGAAATATTATGGGAAAACTTCATTCGTGTCTATATCTTAAAATATTCAGAGTTTGCTGTGGAGGGAGGAAAACTTTCAAGAGAAAATTTGGGTGGATTTTTATTTTTTTTAAAACAAGGAATTGAGCACTGAATGAGGAAAAATAACTGAATAGGGAGGAAGTAGCATATTAAGTATTTAAACTGTACATCAAAACAATGTGCTTTTGTCAGTAGCAAACTTCAGGTTGATGGGTCAGTTTGAAAAGTAATGCGAGAAAATCTGTCACATCACTTGTAGCCTCAGCTTTAGGCAGACTATGTTTTTGTAACAAAAAACTAGAGGACATAACCCTATGGACATGGGTGCATCTACAGCCAAATCTTCCTTTCTTTGTTCTTAAACAGTATCCGTCTTATTTGGTGCAGCTGGCACTACCAAGCAGCTACATCTCAAGACCTTTCTGAGAAGTGGAGTCCGAGGACCAGCTGGGGGCCCAAAACAGGGATACAGATTTAGCTAAGGCAATGGGTTTTTTGTAAGGATTGTGATCTTCAGTGACTCGGACACAGGTCTTGGGCTCAAGGCAGTTCTGTTCCTTAATTGTTGGACAGCTTTTTACAAGGTACATTGTCTGTCCATGCTTGTAAAAGGGACAAAACAATAACAGGTGTCAGTGAGACTGCTGCTGCTGGACCCCTCCTGAAACATGCGCTTGCTGAGCACGTAAAGCACTACATACAAGTTCAGCTGTGGGAGTTACCCAGTATTTGCTCTGAAATGATGACAGGCACTAGAATTAAGTTTCAATTTGAACTGTGAAACACTTTCTCAATCCTTGCAATTGTTGGAAAGCAACTCTATGGTTTCCTAAAAACAGTAACAGCTTTATTTTCTTAATTATCGGTCTAGCTTTCATCTTCTTTCTCTCTCGTCACAAAGATTCTTCTCCTTTAGAAGCTTCACGATAGACCCAGTAGGTGGAGTGTTAAAACTGAGAGTATTTATTCACTGACTTTATTCATTGACTGCTCCTAATTTCTGCAATAATGGAGTATAGCCCATATGCTGAGATTATGACACTCCTCAGAATCCCCTGCCTGGTGTTTCTTCCTGCAGTTGACGTCAGCTATAGAGCAATGAATTCCTGTTTCAGGCTGAGAGCAAGAATTGCATGTTTTTCAGTAGTAAAGTTATTGTAGACACATTCTGTACTATTTCTGACCATTTATGCTGTCTGATGGGACTCTTCTGAGAATTCTGCCTCTGCCTTTGAAACACAGAATATTATGTAAAAGCCAAGCTGATACTCTAATTTCTTTATGACTCTCTGTCCCCATAAAATGAGTGCTATCTTTGTACAGTCTACCATAAAATTTAATCACATCCATCCAGTGTTCTGAGGATGTTTTATATCACATAAAAAAACCTCCTTATACAAAATAACTGCCGTAACTTACTCTGCAGGAACTCTGACAAAGCAGTATGTTCAGCAGTATTTTAGTAAATAGGTTTTAAATAATGACCAGAAAGTAAAATAAAGCCTATAAACTAAAGACGAATTCATAGAGAGTTACAACTTAATTATTCATCAGGCCAAATGTCCACCAAAAAAAAAAAAAAAAAGCTTATTAGGAGATTTTTCCCTTTCTTTCCCTGTATGTGTAAAGTAAGATACTTCCAAGCAATAATAATGGAAGTTTAGACCTTTATCTTGCTCCATAATCTTTTATCCTGCCTCCTTTGAGTGTCTCCACTTAGGTGTGATCCTGTGCTGAACTTTAAAACAAAGAGAATTGTATTTACTGAACACATTTCCTTACATTAAAACTATGCTGTTAGTTGTTTTGAATTCCTACAACTCCAGTGATATGCTCTGAGTTACAGTTCTTAAGTTTCATGTGTGGCTTTCAGTCTTAAAGCCCTGTTTTAGTAATGAGGCTATGATTAAACCTTGGTGGACACTTGTTACAGCTAAATACCCTGTGATCCTTCAAAATCTAATGTAACCTTTCATTTCCAGAGTATGGAGGGCCACTGGCCCTCTCTCCTCTGAGGAGACTGTGTTACATAAAGAAAGCAGGATTCTGACTTCTTAATATTGAGAACCTCTGTAAGATTCTTCACAAAAGCTGTTGCACCTGGTGACTCAGCTTCCAATAAATAACATTTGTACTTTACCTTCAACAGCCTGTGGGGGGAAAAAGGCAGCTGGTCTCATTTCATATCACTCTAGATGCTGCTTTGGACAGTGAAAAACATCCTTGTATTGCTACCCCAGGTATGACCTTTGATATGGCAATGATTTTAATGCATACTACCTTTTACTGATACTTCACTAAATTTAGATTTCTATTTGCGTCCTGCACAAAAGCAAGCAAACAAACAAAACAAACACAAAAAAATCCCCATGTTCTCTGACTCTTCCATCACTGTGATTTTCTAGACTATGCTACTCCGTATGACAACTTCACTGTTTTGTTTTGTTTTCTTCTCTTTTTTCTGATAGGTATTAAAAACCAAAATCCGGTTTTGCATTTTGACTGTCTGGAACATTGGAAGATATGTTGTAGTAAAACACCTCCATACACATGCTTTCCTTGTAGGGCATTAGTTTTGATCAACCTTGTCTTAACATTAAGATAGAATGATTAGATAATTAGAGGAACACGAGTCCAGGAGCAATTTCTCTGACTTGCATCTGCAGTTAAATTAGCTCATGCAGTGGTAAAGACACAAAATCCACCCACGTGTGACTCACTAAATGATCAGCGCACATCCCTCCTTGGAGGATTGAAATCAGGATCACAAGTTCAGGGGAACCCACACACACTCTGATAACTGAAGGGGAGGGAGCTCTGTAGGCTGCTGAGTTGGAACATATTCAGTATCAGTTTAAATTTTTGGAATGACAGCTCTACAGACAAAAGGAAATGAAAAGGAAGCTTTCCCACTTGATTTCTAAAGCAATCTTGCCATGAACTGTGGTTTTTATTGGGGTTTTTTGTGGGTTTTTTTGGGGTGGTTTTTTGTGTGCTTTTTGTGTGGTTTTTGTTTGTTTTGTTGTTTGTTGGGGTTTTTTTTGTTTTGTTTGTTTGTTTGTTTGGCTTGGGTTTTTTTGCAGGGTGGATGGAGTTTGGGTTTCTTTAAACAAAATGTATTTTCTTATTTTCTGACTATCCTGTAGCTTCTTATATTGCTTGCTCTATCTTCCTTCTTCTGGATATCTTTACATGAGTCATTACTGAGCTGTCTTCGTGAACTAGTCTCATATAATGTCTTCATAATAACCTTGCTAACCTACTCTGGTAAAACCCACTCTGGCAGGATAAATCCCTGCCAGATTTTGGACTGTGGAGTTTTCAGATGGTCATGATATTTTTGATCTGTCTAATTCAGTGTCTTAATAATGATGATGCTGCCAATATGAGGGATGAGAAAATAGTGAGCTACCTAATATCCTACAGGCCTAGTCCTTTAAATCTTAAATTGGGTAAGACTGATAGAATCATAGAATCAGAGGGGTTGGAAAGGACCTCTGAGATCATCAAGTCCAACTCCTGATCTACTACCTCTGTGGTTACTAGACCATGGCACTAAGTGCCACATCCAGCCAGCCTCATCTTAAAAACCTCCACGGATGGAGGATCCTCCACCTCACTGGGCAGCCCATTCCAATGCCTGAGTACCCTCCCTGTAAAGTATTTCTTCCTAATATCTAACCTAAACCTCCCCTGGCAGAGCTTGAGACCATGTCCTCTTGTCTTACTGATAGCTGTCTGGGAGAAGAGACCAACCCCCACCTGGCTACAATCTCCTTTCAGGGAGCTGTAGAGAGTGATGAGTCTCCTCCAGGCTAAACAACCCCTGCTCCCTCAGCCTCTCCTCATAGGATTTGTGTTCAAGTCCCTTCACCAGCCTTGTTGCTCTTCTCTGGACCTGCTCCAGCACCTCAATATCCTTCCTGAACTGAGGGGCCCAGAACTGGACACAGCACTCCAGGTGTGGCCTCACCAGTGCTGAGTACAGGGGAAGGATCACTTCCCTGCTCCTGCTGGCCACACCATTCCTGATACAGGCCAGGATGCCATTGGCCTTCTTGGCCACCTGGGCACACTGCTGGCTCATGTTCAGCTTCTTGTCAATCCAAACTCCCAGGTCCCTTTCCTCCTGGCTGCTCTCCAGCCACTCTGTGCCCAGCCTGTAGCGCTGCAGGGGGTTGTTGTGGCCAAAGTGCAGGACCCGGCACTTGGCCTTGTTGAACCTCATCCTGTTGGAATCAGCCCAACTCTCCAGCCTATCCAGGTCCCTCTGCAGAGCCCTCCTGCCTTCCAGCAGATGAACACTCCCCCCCAGCTTGGTATCTTCTGAAAACTTATTAATGGTGGACTCAATCCCCTCATCTAAATCCATCAGTAAAGATATTAAAAATAACTGAGCCCAACACTGATCCCCAGGGGACACCACTAGTGAATTTACTAGCTGTGCACCACTGCACACTTATCAGTTTATTTTCTGTCCTGGACATAGCACGGCAACTTGGTTTGCCAGTTATTTGGTTACCTCTTTGGCAAAGGGGCAAGAGCTGTTGAAACCATGATAATGAGGAAAGAGGAAATATATGACTTCCTTTTTCCCCCATTTCTCCTTAGAAAAATCCCAGTATTCTGCTCCC